ATACTTTTTTGAATTTTGATTTTGTGTTTTTAGATTCTGTACATTTAATTAAGTTATTGTTAATTGTTTATTAGTTTAATGTAAGTGGCTATTGTTCGGGACGAACAATACTGAGGAAGGGGCAGTGTTACGACAGCGGGGGTCACGTGACGAGTATTCTAGAAGATTCGCGATAAACGTTAGTGTGTTACGGTAGCGGAAGTCAAGTGACGCTGGTAGCACGTGTTGAGAGCCTAGAAGATTCTAGAAGAGGCGGTATTATCGTATATAAGTGCGCTAGACAGAGAGAGAGACAGGCAGAGAGAAGGAGAGAGAGTGGGGAACCAAGGACAGCAGTTACGGTCGGCGGGAACCGAGGATAGCAGATACAGAGACCGGAACTATAGTTGCTGACAGGCGGAGATAGAGACGGACAATTGAGTCAAGCGCGGTAGAAAGTGAGTGAATTGTTGTGAACTATAGTGCGCGTAACTGTGAAAATTAAGTGTATTGCAAAGTTTTATTGAGGAAGAATAAACAAGTTTTATTTAAGAAAGGACTTGTATCGTAGAAAAATTAACAAACAAACATACATAGACGTAACAAATTTTTCGGATATCTATCCTGTTAAAAGAAATGTGTAGCAATGAATTTTGTGGTGTAAAACTAACTGCGGCCACGTCGGAACGTACAAAACATTGGGGTGGTGGGTGATCGTATTTGAGTTAAAATTGTCTGACAGTCAATAAAAACGCTTTAAAATATTATTCAACAACTTCTCACAATTATTGTGTGTACGGTACACACAAAATACAAATCAAATTATACAGATACACAAAAAGTCACTACCAGTGTAATGTTTAGAATTTGCCAAAGAATTTTAGTTTCCTTTAATTTCGATCAGCAAAGTCAGCCGATTACATAAAAAAAGATGAAATAATAAATTGTTGTCATCAAAATATTGAGGGGAACAATGGTTTTTGGGCTCCCAATTTAAATATTGGGGCACATACTCCCGGTTCCGATGTCTATGTATTGTACAATGTTTTTTATTATTATTAAAGAACCGTGCTCACTCAAGAACAGAAATATTATTAAATATTCTAATACTTTTAGGGTTGTGAGTTCGAATCCCCTTCCCACCAAACATGTTCACCCTTTCAGCCGTCAATCCTACTAATCTTTGGTGAACGAGTAATCCAAGAGTTGGCGGTAGGTGGCGATGACTAGCTGCCTTCCCTCTAGTCTTTCACTGCAAAAGTAAGGACGGCTAGCGTAGATAGCCCTCGTGTAGCTTTACACGAAATTCAAAACAACCAAACAAATAATTTTCGAATTAAAATTTAAACGTAAACTACAGAGCATAGAATGGATTGAAAAAAAAAAGAGAAAGAATAACACAGAGCACTTTGTAAATATTAAAGTAATTAAAAGAAGATAAATATTTAAATACGAACTTCTTTTTCTTTTAGTAATATAATTGGTTTTGGTTTTACTTTTACCAAATGCTATTATCATAAGTCACGATCGACTGCATTGTTGCTACTTTGGTGAAAGGTTAGTCACGTGCTGCTACTAATATTGTAAAAATTTTCGTAACAAATGTAAAACATTGATATTGTGTGTGTTTAATGATTATATTGTCTTGGCTTTATAAAACAAGTTTCAGTTGTAAGTGTTATGTCATTCCTCATACATTGTGGCTCGTGATCTCTGCTATATTGCCTTACAAGTTACAATTGCACTATTACATATCTTGTTAAGCACTTAAGCAAGATAAGGTCTTACTAATAGTAATACTAACACTGACAGTAGAAGTAAGTATTCTTGTTAAATGTTATATTTTGAGATTATCGTCCATGGCCAAAAGCTGTAATTATTTATCACGGGATTGTCAAATATAAATATAATTAGTTTCACGATATCTGTTAATAACTTAGGAATTTACAAGAAAAGAAAAAAACAAACTTGAATATAAAACCATAATCCTTAATACATAATTCATTAATTGTAAAACTAGCAATTTCAATTTAAAAACGAACTGGCCAGTGCTGGTACTGACAGCAGAGTAAATAATAATAATATAAATTAATGGAAATCGCTAGCTTTACAATTACGTTTTATGGATTATGGTTGTATAAATATTATCTAAAGATCTTGTGCTTATGTTGATAAGGGTTAAGGTGTTGATTTAGTATATGTGGATTTTTAGGAAGCATTTAAAAGTGCTATTTAAAAGGCATGTTAAAATTATTATAGTAGCTGTGTGATAAATACTAAAGTTGTTTTCTTCTGTAACAACACACCAGAATCCTTGGTTTTCTCCTGTAACAACACACCAGAA